GGATATTCTTACTTTAATATGGGCCAACAACTTTAAAGAACAAAGCTCATAATAAGGCACTTCCAGGCACCAGCACAGAGAGTTTTGTTTTATGCCAAATGTTTCTTAAACAATTGAGCTCAGATGCTAATCCAAGCAGCCAAAAGGTTAGGTCGTTCTAAAGCCTGCAAGTCATCTTCCTATCAGATTATCTTGTTCTGGGATGATAATCAAGAGATGGTTGAATAATTGTTCAGTGTAATTGCCCACTTCTATATTTCCCTTTGACGGTGAATAAAAGGTTATAATAGCATTGTAGTTCCTGAAATCTGATTTTAATGGGGGTTAATGGGAAAGTGAAGTATAAGAATTAAGTCAGAAAAAAAAAATAAGTCAGTGCTTGCTTCGGCAGCACAATACTAAAATTGGAACAATACAGAAAAGATTTGCATGGCCCCACGCAGGAGGCTGTGGAATATATACAAAGACTACAAGTTGGATACTACAAAGCTGGATAAGAGTGGAAAATAAAAAAGAAAGTGTGAGGACAATATAGAGTATCAAAAATGGCTTTTGATTAAACAGCCATGAAACCATAACCACTGAATTGAAGAATGGCACACAGGTGCCCAGAACACTCACAGGAGTGGAGGAGTAGATGGCAGCATGAATGCACCTCTTGAAGCTGTGAAAATGGCCCTGGAGAACAGAGAGCCGGTACAGCTGGAAGCCCTGGGCATTCGTGGAACTAACATTCAATATTCCATTCTGCCTGGCAGCTTGCCTCTGGATACAATCCTTGTGGATGCTGAACCAAAAGTGAAATCTAAGGAAAGGGAAGCTGTTGCAGGAAGAGGCAGAAGCTGAGACAGAGGGAGAAGAGGCCATGGTGGTGGCAGAGGAAGATAATGTCTGGGCGTTCTAGGCGATACTGTCTCTCGAGATTATTTCAAAGTGATAAGTGACTAGGGATATTTTTTGTACAGGTTTTCTTTATTTCCTTTTAAAAAAATCATTTTATTGGGGGCTTGTACAACTCATCACAATCCATCCATACATTCATTGTGTCAAGCACATTTGT